GAGATTGTTGCTGCTCTCCTGGAGTCCAGATTGATCAACCAGAAGTGCATGCACCTACTGTGGCCATTCACACTTCACCAGTTGAGCTCGCACGACAAGCTCGATCGGCAGCTCGATCGAGTCCAACTCAGCTCGATCGAGTCCAACTCTAGCTCGATCGAGTCCGACCTCTTCTGTCCAAAGCCTGTTTTGCTTGATCCTTATCAACCGGTTGCCGCTTCCTCGTCTCGCCTACTTAGTCAAGGTCACAAGGAAGTGATTCACAAGTTCAGAAGAGATCTCAGTGGGATTGGAATTGAGTTGCCTCTATGGATAGCATGAGTGAGGCATTTGATCAAATGCAAATGGTCAAGGATGTTCTAGCCAACAGTGATAAAGTTTCAGAGGTCCTACAAGAGTCTACTCATCAGTTCAACCTGCTTACTTCACCCACCTTCCTACCAAAGGTCAAGGATCAAGGGAAATTCACTCTCCCTTGCACACTTGGGCATCTTGAGATTGACAATGCCTTAGTGGATTCTGGAGCAAGCATCAATCTGATCTCTCTCTCCATGGCAGAGAAGCTAGGCATAGCTGGAGCCTTGCAGCGCCCTACTACTTCAATCATGTTTGGAGATGCAACTTCTAAGTCTCCTCTTGGAGTGTTCAAGAACTATCACTTGAAAATTGGAGAATGCATCATCCAAACTGATCTCACTGTGATGGAAATGGAAGAAGAGAAGGATCTGCCTCTGTTATTGGGAACCCCTTTCCTTAGTACAGTTGGCGCTTCAATAGACTTTCACAAGCAAGAAGTGATCCTTCACAAGGTGAATAGTTTGGTGTCATATCGCTTGCAGCCTAGAGGTTCAGACTTTTGTGCCACAATTGACAGTACCACTCTCAGTTCTAAGAGTCATGGAGCTACAAAGGTTGTGAAGGAAAGGGTTGACAAGGAACCAAGAGTTGGGAAGGATAAGGATGAGAGAGGACCAAGGATTGAGAAGCCACGTCTTGAGAGGGCTAGAGTTGAGAAACCACGATCTGATAGGCCAAGAGCTGAGACTTGTTCAAGCCCCTTGTGTGCTTGATGAAGAGAGCCTTCAAGCTTTGTTTGATGAGCCACTAGGAAGGGCTCTAAAAGAAGGGGAGGATGCAGCCTCTAAGGCAAGACCAGGAGATAAAAGAAAGGATCCACCAGCTCAGGCCCCTTCAGTCAAGCCATCTCAGCTCACAATGACTTTGTTCCCCACCAAGTTTGAAAATGGGAAGATTGAGTACAAGATAAGGTACAAGGGGAGATCAAGGCCATTCTCTAGAGCCAAGGCCTTGGTGACTTCAGAACAGTCCAGGGACCCAACCAAGCTAAAGGAGCTTCTGTCTCAAGTCCTCACTATCACCCTTGATGGTGGGACTAGCTCAACCAATGCCTAAGAAGGTAAAGGTCAAGCTATGGGACCTTAAACAAGCTCACTTGGGAGGAAGTCCCATGTTTATCCTTGTACATACTCTATTTATGCAATTTCTATCTATTTTGTGTTTTAACCTTTCAATAAGTTAAGTTTAGGTGTAAGGAGCCAGCTCGACCGACAGCTCGATCGAGCTAGAAACCAGGGCAACTCGATCGAGTTCCACAACTCGACCGAGGTAAGTTTTTGAATTTCAAATTCATAACCGTTTTCTTGGTCAAGGGAGTGGGTCCCACAAGCTGATTTTGGTCCCCCACTACCCTAATTGATCAGAGAATCCCTAGCTTCTTGTTCCCTCTTTATTTCATCTTTTAATCTCAACCACACATCTCAAACACTCCCTCTTCCCCATAACTCGATCGAATCCACTCTCCACTCTCCCACACCTAAATTTCTGAAACATCTCTCTCTCTCTCTTCACCACAAGAAAATCGAATTTCTCTTTCTCTCTTAAGTTTTTGCGATTTCTCTTGTTCTTCATTGTTTTGTTTGGGTTCTAGTTTACTGTTCTTCAATTCATCATTCAAGCAAGGTATGAACCCTAAAACCCTTGATTCCTCCATCTCGATTTCCTTATTGCTTGTTTCCTCTTTGATTTTTGATTGCATGTGTCCCTTGTGGACTTGTTCTTGAGTAATTGCTTTCATATTTTCTCTGCTATAATTTTGAATTTGCTCACCTCACCTCTGTTTTGCCTTTAGAACTTGTTGCATGTGCTTGAAATTGAATTTGAGTTTGGTATTGGTTAAGATGCTTAGTGCTTCACTAGAATTGCTCATTGTTCCATTTACTAGTTGTTCTTGGTTCAATTTGATTGATTAGCATCCTTTCCAGCTCTTAATACTTGAATTAGGTTTCGGTTATACTCTGTTTTCACCTAGCTCGATCGAGTTTGTCACTCGAGTTTTTTGACTCGATCGAGCTGAGTGTCGAGTTGACCAAACCGATCATTACAACTCTAATTCTTTGTAATCTTTGATGCATTTCAGGTACTTTAGTGAAGAAACAGTGTCAAGAGATGACAAACAGTGAGGGAAGCGCGCTTCACAAGGAGAATGGTTGAGGGTGAATCAAGCAATGCAAGGGAAAGAAGGCTTAAGATGCAAGCCGATTTGGAGAGGATGATCAAGGATGGAAGAGTCTGATGCAGAGGAGTATGTGTACTCTGAGGAAGAGTCTGAGAGCGAGAGATTGAGGGAGGAAGAGGAGAACCAAGAAGAGGAATGACCCATTAGTAGTGAGAGTGAGCAAGGGGAGTTTGAGATTGGAGTGAACCTTGTTCAAGAGGAGGGAAATGGCTCTCCAAGTGAAGAAGGAAGTGATGAGACTGAGAGTGAAGAGGAAGGAGAAGAGGTGAATCATTGGTTGAGAGAGTGAGCAAGAGAGTAACCAAGATGAACCATGGAGGAGGTTGAGCAGAGAGAAGAGGAGGATGAGAACTCCCATGTACCAAGAGCACTACAATGCCTCTTCTCCATGGACTTTCATGGAGACCAAGTACCCACATGTTGACACAATGAAGGCCCTTGGAATCTTTGAAGATGTGGAGCTGGTCTCAAGAACATGCACTTGGCCAAGCTCTTCTCTTATCACATGGAATCCTACAAGGAGCTCACTTGCGAGTTCTTAGCTTCAATGAGGTACCACATGTACGAGAGGAAGATAGAGCTGATTTGGACCAAGGATTGGGATGGATCACGTTCTTGGCTAAGGGAGAGAAGAGAATGGTGACCTTTAGGCAGTTGGAGATCTTGTTTGGGTTCAACTATGGAGAAGGAACCAAGTGGAACTTCAAGGAAAAGGAACTCCAAAGGGTTTGGGCTACAATCGCTGATGGAGTGTACTCTTCCTCAAGGTCCAAGGCTGCTCAGATCAGGAGCCCAGTTGAGATATGTGCACAAGGCACTTGCCAACACCTTCTTTGCAAGGAAGGCAACCGGGACAATCAACGAGGGGGAACTCAAGTTTCTTGACATGGGAATCAAGCCCATTCTCTCACGCACAAGCGATGGCAAGAGGATCAGGGGAGATAGATCACACAGGGAACTTGATGCCTTTCCTTGACCATCTCCTCACCTACAAGATCACAGCCTACAACACTAGACATCAACGAGGGAAGGCGCTAAGTGTTGGAGGGCTCATCACTCCTATCTTGTGTGCTGCTGGAGTGAACCCAACTGATAAGAGAGCCACTGAACCAGGTTGGATGGACATCAAGTTTTGCAAGACCAACCTCTCATTGAGCACAAGGAGTTGGATGGGAGTTCCAATTCAAGTTCACACATCCATTGGCTGGCCCTCCAAGCTTCTCCTGCCCAACCCAGAGCTCACCACAGTAGTCAGGGGTGAGAACATTGACTTCAGACCCCCTGTGTACACTTAGTTGGGCATGAGGATGATTTGCGAGAAGAGGAGCCTGAGCTCGATCGAGCTGAGGATCGAGCTGAGGATCAAGTCCAGGAGAGTGCGGATTTGGGTGAGCCTGAGTGCTACTACTTTGAGGAGTATGAGGCTCCAAGGATGAACCCCTCTGTTGTGGCTGCCCACAAGAGGATTGGACTTCTCCAAAAGTTCAACAAGTGGCAAGGGAAAGCCATGAAAGATGCAAAAGTCCATGGACAAGATGGTGAGCAAGATCAAAAGTTTGGAGAAGAAGGTTTCTGGTTCTTCAAGCAAGAAGAAGAAGTCCAGGCCCCCACATTCCTAGGAGTAGATCACTCCTCACCACTCCAAGGAGGCTCCCTGCCCAAGAGCCTCACAGAGCCTCTTCTTTCGAGCCAAGGGAAGGGAGAAGACAACTCACAGAGAAGGAGGAAGAGCTCCAAGGCCAGACGCTCCAGCTCGACCACCGGACTCGATCGAGTCCAAACAGAGGAAACTCAACTCGATCGAGCTGACGGTCGAGTTGAGGAGGAGCCCCAGTTTGAGATCCGGATTCGAGTACGATCCAACGCCTTACCAGGAGACCCTCAGTAGATGGACCCCTATGGACAGTCGAGCTAGCCAGCTCCACCAAGGCCAAGGAAGCCACACACACTTCAAGATGAAGAAGAGGAAGAAGAGGAGCCAAGATCGAGTGAGCGAACCCAGTCGAGTGGAGTGCTCCTGATGGCCGTCTACCATCTCCAGACCACGACCTAGCCTCCCAGTTCTTTGGGGGGCACTGAGGTATCCAAACACCAACCCTTGTATATACCATTTCATATTTTCTTTGTTTTGTTTTTTCTTGGTTTTGCCCTCTTGAATCTTTCACTAAATTTTTCTCACACAAGGGACTGTGTGATTTAAGTTTGGGGGAGGGTTCAAGAGATGATTTAACCTTGTTTTCTTTGTTCTTAGTTTTTCATTTATCTTTTGCATAGAAAAACCAAAAAAATCATAAAATTTTCAAAAAATCCAAAAATATTTTCATCTTTTTGCATTCATATTTGTTAGACTTGTTTAGGATTGCATTTTTCACTTGCATTGTTGATTTGACTTTGAAAACTTGTCCATCTTTTGCGATTTCTTGAGTGCCCTGTTTTTAGATTCTTTTGTGCATTAGGGTGAGATTGATTGAGCAGCAAGAACCATGTTTATCTTGATCATATCACTGCATGCACATCTCATTCAACCATTGCTGTGATTTGATGCATTTCCCTATCTATTTGAACCATAACTTGATCTTTAATTACCAATGCTTGCATTTGATTTCAACTCATGGCTACCACATACATATCTGGACATTCTTTACCATTTTCATATCCCTTTGCTTGTCCAGATAGCTGATCTCTATCTTTGAGACAGTTACCACACCTTAAACCTAAGCCTTTTCATTTCAAACCCCTTATTATCTCTTGTGCGAATGTGAGAACCTTTCTTGGCTTTGCTTAGCATAAGGTGTTGTGTTTAAACCGGCAGGGGCAGTAGTTCTAGTTGTCTAGTTCTCTTGGGATTGTTTTCAGGCTAAGTTTGGGGGTGCCAACTCGAGCTCGATCGAGTTGGGTGTAAAAACCAGAAAAGTGGTAAAAGTTGGGAAAAACCCAAAGGAAAAAGAGTTTAGTTAAGTCCAGGGAGTTGGCAGTGTTAAAAAGGGTCTAGTAAAGGTTTGGGAAGTTAAAAAAGGAAGTAAAAAGGGTTCTAAGTAGAATGAAAAGAAGGCAAAGCCTCAAGTGTCAAAAAGAAAGAAAAGTTCCCTAAGTGTTTAGAAAATCCCAAACCGCTAGATGTTACCTCAAGAAGCCTCTCCCTAGGAAGTTCTTAAAAGAAAAGTGAGCAAAGCTCCTCAGTTTCAAAGGCGAAATGCCAAAAAGGGTAGTTAGGATTTTGTTCTAAAAAGCTCTAAGTGTTGAACTCGATCGAGTTAGGATTAGGCGGCTCGAGCTGCTGTTCTTGCATCATCTTTGGTTCTAACACTTAGCCTTCTGCCAAAGCAAAGCCACTTTCTTGAGAGATCCCTGTTACTAAACCACCATACAAAAGAGACCCTCTTTGTCTCTTAACCCATAAACCCTTGAAACCAAATGAGTTGATTGATCTTGCATGTTTTTGGTTCACTGTTTTTGCTTAATGAATGTTAAAGGGATTTGCTGATTTGAATGCATTGTTTGAGTGACTGTGAAGTGGGATTGATGTTGATAAGCATGGTTAAATCTTAATGAATATCTCTCACCTTGTTGCATTCTAGAATCTCTAAGTTGGACATTTAGCAAATCGCTTTTGAGGACATGTTTTTAAGTGTTGAATCAGCTTGTTTTCAAACCTCATCTCTTTCTTGTTCTATTTGTTTGCTTGAGGGCAAGCAAAGTTCAAGTTTGGGGGTGTTGATGTACTTGCATTTTACATAGTTTTAGTACATCTTTTATGCATCTTTTGCATAGTTTTAGCATCCATTAGCATCATATCTTGTTCCTTTTCTCTTCTTATGCATTCATGTAGTTTTAGGTTGCATTTGCATACATATGCATGTTTGGTCCTTTGAAATAGGTCTTTTGGAGCATTCTGGAGCATATGGGACAAGGAGCATGGAGGGACTTGGCATGGACGCAGCTCAACTGGATACGCAAAGGAAGAAGGAGAAGCCATCTTGAAGACCAGCTCGACCACCTACTCGACCAACCGGTCGAGTTCCTCAACTCGACCGGCCAAGCTTCAACTCGATCGAGCTGAGAAGTCAACAGTCAAACCCGAAAAATGTTGCTTCCCCCTTGACTTTCCTTTGACCCTAAACCTAATCCTCTTGTATTTAAAGGCTCTAAGCCACGAAAAAACCACCAAGCTTTAGATTACTTTTGTTTTAGTTTCTTTTAATTTATTGTCTTTTACTTTTTAGAGCTCTAATCCCATCTTTGTGTTCTTGAAGCTCTTGCTTCTTGAATCCTAGATCCTGGATAATCTCTTTGTATTTGCACTTGCTTATTTCAATAAAAGTTGTTTATTTCATCTCCTCTTTCTTATGATGTCTCTTTTATTGCATTTGCTTGTGTTTACATTCATGTGTAGTGAGTAGTTACCCATTAGGGTTTGAGATGGGATAGATTAGAGGTTTCATATGCTTAATCCTTCTAGCTTATGGTCTTAATCTAGATTCTCTCTCTTTTGGATAATCTTAAGGCTACATGACCACTACCCCTGGCTTGTATGTCCTTAGGCGATTCTCCACATGGAAGTGATGGAAATCGCTGGAAAAGATCCACTAAGAGCTCCAATATCTCTTGCTCTAGAAATAGAGGTCTAAGGGGTTGGATGGATTAGTTTGGGCAATGATCCTATGGCCTCCAAGGTTTGATTCTCACTGGCTAACCCCCTGTTTCTGAGATCATTCCTTGGTTGATAGCCTTTCACCTTGGGAAAGGGTTGGCTAGGCATTGAGAAGCCCAATATCAAGAGAAGCCTTGATACAAGGAGTTTTAAGAGCAAGATTGATTAAGTGTAGATTCCTCTGATTGCAAAACCCTGTCTTGAACCCTAATTCTCTTTAGCTTGTTAAAGTCGCTGCCTTTAGCTTTTTACTCAACTCGACCCTAAACTCGATCGAGCTGGTACTCTGTTCCACTCGACTCGAGTCCTTGGTCGAGCTGTTGCTTTACTGCTTTGTTTACTTTTGCATTTCATTTCTTTCATTAGGTTGTTAGTGTTACCAAATCTTTACTGCTTGCTTGACTTTCTTGTGTTTCATATTCTCATAGAGTGACAAGTTTCCCATTTTGGATTGATAACCTCTTATACTACATGACTATGATGGTTAAGAGGAATTGATTGATTGTGATTGCACCATTTCATCTTTATTCACCCTGTTTGCATTCCACCTCATATCTTATCACACCACGTAAAATCCTATCATCATTACCACCCTTCAAATCTAAGTACAATCACTACTCTCATCAGCTGGAGAGAGAGCGTGAAGAAGAAGAATGGGGAGGCATACCACCCCATCCTGAAGTCTTGAATGAAGAGCTAATCAAGCATGTGGAGAGGAATCCTTTCTACAATTCTACTTCAGATGTGCAAAGGAGCATCTATGCAACTTTGAGCAGCTTTGCCACGACTATGGACTTGGAGACAACCCCAAGAAGATACAACTTTTCCAACTATCTAGCTGGACAAGCCAAAGAATGGGCTAAGTTCAATGCCCAACATGCTTTCAAGACTTGGAATGGATACAAAGGAGCTTTCCTCTACAGATTTGCAAAGGTCCGATTTATGTTCCACCACCACGCCCAAGCTATTCACAACACCATCCATCATCACCAGACATAAATCAAGACACCACTTTTCCCAAGGAGAGCTATCAAGCTGCGCGCCAAACCAAGATTGAAGAGATGCTTCAAGAGTACTTGAGAAATCAAGATGAGAGTACAAAGAAGATGGAGAGAGAATCGATTTCATCCATGAGAGTCTTGGAAACAAATCTGAAGTCCTATTCAAGCAAGTGATCAAGCTTGATGAAGACATTAAGAAGTTAAGAGAGGATCATGATCGATCTCTAACCCTAGTTAAGCTTGATGTTGCTTCCAAATATCAAGAGTTGCTGAACAAGAGCATGAGAATTGAAGATACTAGCTATGGCAATAGCAACATCTTGGATCGATCTACAACCGCCTACAAGCCCTTGAAGGATCATCTCATGCCAAGTACAAGAGAGAGAGGAGTCCAACACCCAACCACCCTCCCTTTTATTGCAATGCCATCACAAGAAGAAGCACACTCAAGTCCATGAGGACAATGAAGAAGAAGAAAGAGAGTATGAGGAACAATTGAATGATGAAGATGAAGAGCAGAGCATCGACATCAATGCTTCTCCAAAACAGAGCAGGATACACCTAGCCCTAGACCCTCGTTTCTCACCCACCAGAAGTCAAGCTTCTGAACTTCCAAGATTGGAAGCAATGCAAAGACCATCACCACCTACTGAAGAAGAAGATACTTGGCAGTATGATCCCATTGATCCCAACAAGATAAGCCCCATGAAGCTTAAAGAGTTCAATGCTAAGGTGAAATCACTTCCATTCTATGTCACTTTTGAAGAAGCTTGGGATAAGCATGATCTAGTGGAGTTCTTTTTCACAACTAGTGAAAACAAAGAAGAAGTACAAACTTTTTCAGAAGGCACGATTTCCCCATGCCCCTCATGCAGTCAATCAAACCATCATCATCACCACCACCTCAAGTGGTATGTCAATTCCATATCAAGAGAGAAGCTTGCTGAGTTCAATCAGTTTGTCCAAACTCTTCCAGCCAGCATGTCTTCCAAACAAGCTTGGCGCCACTACCCATTCACCACCTTCTTCCACAACTGCAGAGAGACACCTCAGGACATCAAAGAGCTTTTTGAGAAAGCTAAAGTTCAGCCTACCTTCAAGACCCTCTACAAGATTGAAGACCCAGGTCAATTCTCTATTCCCTGTCAAGTAAATGGTCATTACTTTGATAGAACACTATGCGATTCTGGCTCTTGCATAAACCTCATGCCAACCCAAACCGCCAAACTCCTTGGCATCACACGCTTGCAACCTGCTCAAATTAGTATTGGACTTGCTAACCATACTATAGCCAAGCCAAGAGGAGTTGTTGTTGATGTTCTTCTAGAGATTGGAGATATCAAGATCCCGGTGGACTTTCATGTCATGAACATTCAAGGAGGATGTGACACACCATTGATACTAGGCCGACCCTTTTTGGCCACTGCTGGAGCTGTCATGGACCTTCCAAACAGGCGAATGTCCTTAGCCAATGTTGACAAGACAGTCTTTTACAAGACCATACCATTCATCTCACCAAACAAGCTGTCTTACCTCATCACTGCCCAAGGCCGCCCAAGAGAGCCACCAGACCACACTCAAGGTCACAATGAGACAAGAACTAAAAGACTATGTCTCAGGCCGTGCCCTTACCCCATCTCCAACTAAGAGATCCTATCAGTCAAGCTAATGACTCAAAAGAAGCGCTGCATGGGAGGCAACCCATGAAAGGTGTTTTTCTTTACTTTTCTTTTCAATTAGTTTTAGTTAATGTCTAGTTTTGTTTTGAGTTTTGGAAACAGGAATCTAAGAACCACACAATGGTAAAGAAGATATACCACAAGAAGAATGTTCATAGTTGGCGCGACTTGATGGCCGAGCAGAACCTCTCCACGCTCGCCCATGTCCTCTCAAGCCGCCCAACACACCATCCCATCTCATTCCATCTGCATCTCACCCATCCCACCTCACCACACTTGCATTCCATCACTACCATCATTCCACTGCATTCACCATTCTTCAAGTAACACCAAATCAGGTTACATCTTTCTTTTTACATTCACAACCACTTTATTACCTCTTTCTTTAACTCCCTTAATTGGATTTTCTTTCACCGGGACGGTGCAAGTTAAGTCTGGGGGGATTGTCGGTACTAATGTGTTTGTTCATGGTTGTTTTGATCTTATGGTTTTTCCTTACCCACTTTTTCAAAACTTCTGTTTTATTGAGTCAAAACCAGTCCGGAAAATGAACTTGCTTTGAGATTTGATAGTGTTATGCTAACAATCTATGACCCTAGAGCAGACATCAGCTGAAGGCACAAGCCTAACAGAAGCTCCTACAGTGGATCGACATGCTAGCTCAGCGAAATTTCTAAGGTAACCAAGCAATCTAGAGTTAACCTCACCCTTAATCAATCTTAATAACTCTTGTCAAGGGGATTGGCATACATGTCGACAGTTCCTTGCTTGATTTTCAATGAGATTTGTCTAATCTTTAAAGAGTTCTCCTCTCTCTCCCATCCCAAATGGTAAGTAATGTTTATGAGAAAAGCTCAAAGAGCACAAGGAAAACAAGTAAGCATGAGGAATGCATATGTCTGTACCTTCATGTCTTATGGAATACCTTATCAAACAAGGAACAAGCTAAAGACTTATCCTGTGGTTGAAAGAAGGTCAATAGAAAAAATAAAATGATACCCTAGAAAAGTAGGGAGAAATTGACCTTTCAAAGTTCTGATGTGAGAAAGAGAGAGGAAAAGAACTCATTGCACTTCAAAGACAATCTTGGAGAAGATCAAGTGGGTAAGAACAAGTTCAATTGATCGATGTTCCCTTGATAAAGAACTCACGCTTTAAATTTATGCAAGAGGTTAGCAATAGAGAGTTTGGATTGCTGGATGAGACTAGTTGGGTTGGTATTGTTCGCTAAACTTGCAGGGTGTATGTGAAGCTAACCTTATGTTGACTATGTTCTTAGTGGAATACAGGAAAGGAACCTTTCACAGGATTTTCAAAGAAGCAAGGGAGTTCCCACGTTTTCAAAACCTCTTCACTAGTTTAGATTCTTTTTGCTTGGGGACAAGCAAAGATCTAAGTCTGGGGGAGTTGATATACCTCTATTTTACACTTTTTATGCTATTTTACTATGGTTTTCTAATGGTTTTCTAGTGGATTCTTGTGTTAAAAGGTAGTTTTTATGGATTTATAGTGCAAAGAGTCATTTTAGGTAAAAAGGTGCATTATGGAGCAAAACATAGGATTTGGACTTCAACCAGTTCAATGCACTGCATCAACTTTGGATGGAGCTAGAAAAAGATCTACTCAATGGATTTCATCAAGACCAGTTCCCTGCGTGCTCTGATTGAGTTAACTTTCCAACGCAACTGGAACGGCCTCATTTGGATGAGTAGAAAAGGAGTTATAGCCAAAAGAGTGAAGACTGTCCAGACGGCTCTATCGAGAATCAGCGCCCAACCGCGCAGACCGGCTGGCCGAGGAACGAATGTTCCGCGCTCGGCCAAAACCGATTCCGTCCGTCTGAAGTCTCGGCCAAAACTCATTTCATCCGGCTGATATACCTCTATTTTACCTACTTTTTATGCTATTTTACTATGGTTTTCTAATGGTTTTCTAGTGGATTCTTGTGTTAAAAGGTAGTTTTTATGGATTTATAGTGCAAAGAGTCATTTTAGGTAAAAAGGTGCATTATGGAGCAAAACAGGAGATTTGGACTCTAAACCAGTTCAATGCCCCTGCATCAACTTTGGATGGAGCTAGAAAAAGATCTACTCAATGGATTTCATCAAGACCAGTTCCCTGCGTGCTCTGATTGAGTTAACTTTCCAACGCAACTGGAATGGCTTCATTTGGATGAGTAGAAAAGGAGTTATAGCCAAAAGAGTGAAGGCTGCTCCAGACGGCTATATCGAGAATCAGCGTCCGAACGCGCAGTCCGGCTGGCCGAGGAACGAATGTTCCGCGCTCGGCCAAAACCGTATTCCGTCCGACTGAAGTCTCGGCCAAAGTCAAACCACTCGGCCGATCACACACGACCCGGGAAACATTGTCCCGCGGTCGGCCAAGCCAACGCTTCACGCCACTCCGCGCACGACCAACGCGCGAGCCGGGAAACAAGCCTCGCGGCCGCGCAACCCGTTCCGCGTACCACGGCCGATGCATCCGTCCGAGCCGGGAAGAACGTCCCACGTCCGGCCGAGAAACCATCGGCCAAATCTTCTCCGCCGACCAGCCGGCCGACCATGAAACATCCGGCCCGACCGTTCCGACTCGGCCAAAGACCCGACTGTCCGGCCGACCGTCCCGACCGACCGTCCGAACGCCGCGGTCGACCCGAAGCCGTTTTTGAAGCCCAATCCGCACAATTCAAGCCCAAAGCCGGCGCCGACCTAGCTAGATTAGGTTTAGCCGCTTTTATACTTAGAGCATTATAAATACTTCTTTTTAGCCTTGTAACTCAAGAAGGAGAGAGACCACAATCTATTTTACATCTTAATAAAGTTTTGCTTGCTTTTACTTTGTTCTTGCTTGTTACTCTTTCTAGAGAGGATTCGAATCTCTGTTCTTATGAATATGAATTCGTTTCCTTCTCTATGTCTGAGTAGTTTACTTGTTAAGTGATAGGAAGTCAAAGGATAGCATTCATGTATGCTTGATGATTGATCACAATTAGGGTTTTACTTATAATCTCCATCTTTGCTTATACTTAATGCTTGTTGTTAATCTGGCCAATTAGCATATGCCTTTAGGTTGATTTGAGCCTCGACAGTGCTGTATCATTCGCCTGAACTAGTATTTGGTGGGCAATCTCTTTTAGACTGCGACAGTTGATCTACTTGTAGGTTGTGAACAATTGATCTTGATCGAACTAATGCTTGATTTAATCACCTAGGGACATACCAAAAGTTTAGCGACTAGGTAGATTAACAAAGGGGTCGGAGCCTCGACAGTGGAATGATCATACCATAGTGTTTCAAGTTCTAGATTAGCACCTAAGTGCGGTAACCCTAATTGATTGATTTCATGCTTCTTGAATTGCTTATCTCAAGACTATCCTATTGCTTAGCCTTTCTCTCCTATTGAATTCTCACTTTTATTACTTGCATGCTTTACTTTCTCTGCACTCAACCAACTTATACTTTTGCCCTAGCTTGATCTCAAACTCATAACTTGTAGTGTGCAATCTGGTCCTCGTGTTCGATACCCGTTTACTACTTCTGACCTGTGCACTTGCAGAATCAGGGATAGGAAAGGGGAAGACCTGATCCCGCGATCAAGTTTTTGGCGCCGTTGCCGGGGACCAATTCGCACCTACAAGCTCTTGCAAGAGAGCTAGTCTAGGGTTTTCATTTTCCTTTTTAGTTTTGTTATTTTTCCTTTTTCTTTGATTTTGTTTTTCCTTTTTGTTTTTCCTTTTTGTTTTTAGCTTTTCAGGTTTTCCTAGTTAGATATGGAGAAGGAGCCACAAGCCTCTTCCCCTATAAAGGCGATGCCAATTCGCCACATACCACCTCAAAGTCACCTCTTGAGCGAACAAGAGATGTCAAGCCCTCAAGCACCACCACCTTCATGGGATAGTCCTCCAAGACCATCCCTTTGAAGACAAAGAAGAAACTTCTTCCTACCTTGAAGCAGCCGACCTGGAGACGTCTAGCCAAGCCGCATCACACCAAGAAGAACCTTCTAGCCACACCAGAAGAGGAGATTAACCCTGAGCTGATCGAGTTCGTGAAGAGAGATCAATTCCATGATCTGTTTTCAGAGTATGCGCTGGAGCACATAGATCACTTTGACAATCTTTGTGATTCCTATGGAGTTTTTGACTTTGAGAAGAAGATGATGCTATTCAGCACATCACTAGCTGGACCAGCACTAGATTGGGCGCAGCATGAGCCACTCTCTACAATCGAGTCATGGATCGATTTTAGAGAAGCTTTCTTGAAGAGATTTGCAAGGAACCACCTTTCAAATCCAAGTACCACCACTACTCTCATCAGCTGGAGAGAGAGCGTGATGAAGAAGAATGGGGAGGCATACCACCCATCCTGAAGTTCTGAATGAAGAGCTAATCAAGCATGTGGAGAGGAATCCTTTCTACAATTCTACTTCAGAATGTGCAAAGGAGCATCTATGCAACTTTGAGCAGCTTTGCCATGACTATGGACTTGGAGACAACCCCAAGAAGATACAACTTTTCCAACTATCTCTAGCTGGACAAGCCAAAGACTGGGCTAAGTTCAATGCCCAACATGCTTTCAAGACTTGGAATGGATACAAAGGAGCTTTCCTCACAGATTTGCCAAAGGTCCTATTTATGTCCCACCACCACGCCCAAGCTATTCACAACACCATCCATCATCACCAGACATAAACAAGACACCACTTTTCCCAAGGGAGAGCTATCAAGCTGCGCGCCAAACCAAGATTGAAGATATGCTTCAAGAGTACTTGAGAAATCAAGAAGAGAGTACAAAGAAGATGGAGAGAAGAATCGATTTCATCCATGAGAGCCTTGGAAACAAATCTGAAGTCCTATTCAAGCAAGTGATCAAGCTTGATGAAGACATTAAGAAGTTAAGAGAGGATCATGATCGATCTTTGACCCTAGTTAAGCTTGATGTTGCTTCCAAATATCAAGAGTTGCTGAACAAGAGCATGAGAATTGAAGATACTAGCTATGGCAATAGCAAACATCTTGGATCAATCTACAACCGCCTACAAGCCCTTGAAGGATCATCTCATGCCAATTACAAGAGAGAGAGGAGTCCAACACCCAACCACCCTCCCTTTTATTGCAATGCCATCACAAGAAGAAGCACTACTCAAGTCCATGAGGACAATGAAGAAGAAGAAAGAGAGTATGAGGAACAATTGAATGATGAAGATGAAGAGCAGAGCATCGACATCAATGCTTCCCCAAAACAGAGCATGGATACACCAAGCCCTAGAGACCCTCGTTTCTCACCAAGAAGTCAAGCTTCTACACTTCCAAGACTGGAAGCAATGCAAAGACCATCACCACCTACTGAAGAAGAACATACTTGGCAATATGATCCCATTGATCCCAACAAGATAAGCCCCATGAAGCTTAA